AACAGTGAAATCACAGTGGAAAAATATTACAAAATGTAGATTGTTATTTCTTTCTTTTGATTTTGCTGGCCGCTTCTTCTTGAGCTTCCCGCATTTCTCCACGTGCACGGTGTAATAACTGCAGAAGTGAGGCGTTCGACCACAGAATGATCATGTGACGCTCTGAGCTCACGATCAAACATAATCAGAATCTCACGCTGATGTTCCTGTTTGTGTGTCTGTGGGTGACGGGTCACGAATGCTGCTGTTGTTCTGAATGATGGTAAGTCTAGAGGTGTTTTACTCTGAATCAGTGCTGTTCCTCACTGTGGTTTAACGCTGTGACACTGTTCACACTGAACCGCAGGATTGTCACGATTGCTGTGATTGACACATCAGAGGTGCCGCTGTCGTGAGGCAGACGGTGAGTGACACTTCTGCACACTTCACTCACAGATCCAGAGGAGAAGCTGCTCTCCATCCACACAGATGGACAGATGAACCAGGAGCTTAGTGCTTCTGTACGTGAGAGGATGAGCAGGGCTGGATGAGTTTATCAGATTGTGTTGTTGCTGGTCTTTCTACTGTCCAGGATGAGTGTGAATGAAGCACTGAACCCAGCAGAGATGATGACAACAACAGACACTCTGAAGGACACTGACATATGTCGCCTGCTGCATCACACACTCACTCACTCACTCACTCACTCACACACACACACACACACACTTTTATGAATTTGCTAATTACGTAAATAGCTAAAGTTATGGTAAAAAACGAACTATACACCATGCTCACAAAGATTTCATGATTTCTGACAACTGCTTCAGTCTTTATTTCCAAGCATTTTCCCTGAAAGTTTGATTATAAACAGTGAGGCTGTGAAAGCAACTAGTGATTTGATGAGTTTACCTGTTCAGTTTGATGACATTAAATGTCCATCAATCTCCCGTTTAGACACTTTCAAGACAAGTAAAAGCTTTACAGTGTTATTACTGATGTATTTCATGTCGTATAATAAAAGGTTCTTGATATATCTTGAACTATATCATCAAGATATCTTAATATATCTTGAGCTTGTGTTCACCTTATTTCAGGTATTTAACCCAAAATTCATATACTTTGACTTCAGGACAATGGATCTGGAAGAGCTCAAATGCAACACGTCTCTGGGTTCTGTCCTACAGAAATGCCTCGTCCCTGCAGCACGCTCTTATCCCTCAGCTCAGTGTGTTTGCATGATGAAGCTGCTCTCAAACACTCTCACCTCAGCAAACCCCATCACACACTGTAGGTTGAGCAGACGTCCCCCGCTTTTTACTGCATTCAAAACAGCCTGTAAAGTGACCAGCTAATGTCAGCTTTACAGCTGAAATTGCTGAAGTTGCTTCGTGCTAAAATACGAGTCCATAATCCATAATAACGCTTCCTCCAGTGAAAAAGTGCATCTGCTGTTGTCTCTCACATCAAAACTCTTGACACATATTAGTTTAGAGCTGTTTAAACGCTGCTTGATCTGTGCAGATTTCTCTCCTGATTCAGACCAGAACACTTTTTCACTGGAGGAAGCGTTATTATGGATTATAGACTCATATTTTAGTTAAAAAAGGTCTTAACGATGTATTAGTTTCAGCTTTTGTCTTCTCCCGATGTTAACTGATGGACTGGAGTGCTGTGGATTACTTGTGGATTATTGTGATGTTTTTATCAGCTGTTTGGACTCTCATTCTGACGGCACCCATTCACTGCAGAGCATCCATTGCTGAGACACTGATGCAGTGCTACATTTCTACAAACCTGATGAAGAAACAAACTCATCCTGATCTTGGACGGCTCGAGGCTGAGCACATTTACAGCAAATGTTTGTTTTTTATGTGAACTATTCCTTTAATTGATTCTTATGTTTCTGAATTCTGCAGTAATTCTTCAGTCATCACCTGTGCAGACTGTGACTGTTCAAGGTTAAAGTTTTTAATTAGGGGCACAATGTAATTACATTGTACCATACAGCACTATGATAAATAATAATATTAAAAATGTATGATACATACAGTATCGCATATAATAACACTGGACATTTCAGTGATTTAATGACTGCTGAACTAGAAATATCAGAAATCACTTTAATCACACACATCAACAATTTAAAAGCACACGCTCATGCTCAGAACGATCTGCACATCTCTGAGCTGGATCCACATGACTGATGATGATCTGTGTGAACCTGAACCTCTCACTGCAGTCAGATCATGAGTGCTGCAACAGCGCCATCTGCTGAGCTCAACACACACACAGACACAGACACAGACACACACACACACACACACACACACACACACACACACTATCCGCTCTGCATGTGTCTTATATTCAGTATTAGTATTAGTAATCAGCTGCAAAGATTAGAGCCTAAAACTTGTAAAATAACAGTTTTACCATTTACTGCACCTTGTTAAGCCGGTCGCTCATCAGATGAGAAGCGCCACATACAGAGAAAACAGCTCTGAAAAATAAAGCCTTTTTTTCCCAAGAAAACGGAATTTAGACCCAGAACACAGGGGGTCATATATTCAAACAAATTAGGTTAAACATTTCAAGAAGGTTACCAGTGGTTATGTAATAACCCCATAGGCTAGGGGTTGGTTAGAATATATCAGTAAGATTTAAATAGAAACCATTCCTGAAAATTAATAATACAGAATAGAGAACTGAACAGTACGTGCTATTAAATAGTACATACAATAAAAAAAGGGTACTAGAAATGCAGTCCTGACACTTCAGTCTCTGGTACTTTAGGATCACGCTTCACAAAATGAAGATATTTTGTGGGGTTTTGTTTTTGTCATACAATGAAGTCAGTGGGGGTCTAGTGTCGTTTGGGGTCCCATTAACTTTTATCGTTTGTTTAACAGTTCAAACATTCTTCAAAATATCACAGGGATGATCCAGGCCCATCCAGTTATTCTCCTAATGAAGCTGCAGATGTAGTGAGGTTATGAGTCGGAGGCGTTCTCTCGTACAGCCTGATTGATCGGGTTTGTTCAATCACACACATATGAGCGTGTAGTTAAGACATCTGATCTCTGTCATGTGCTCTGCAGACACACTGATACCGCTCTGACACGCGTCCAGACTGTTTACACAGTAAATGTGGATCCTCATCCGCTGGGATGTATGAACCCAGCATATATTTCAAGACATACTAAAGCAAGCACAGTACACAATGATCCCTGCTAATCAAAGAGCTAATAAACCAGCAGTATTTGGATACGCAGCTCAGAACACCACGTCATCATCATCACTCGATCGATCCATCAGACAACACTGAGAACGAATCTTGCTGCGATATGACAGATGCCAATCACTGCACACACACACCATCATCACATCCACATATTCCTGTTTGGAAATATAGTTATTGTTCATGAAAGATATGACAGCAAGACTCAACTGTACTGAATGTGCACTGTAGAGTATTTCAAATCTTACAAGTATACTTAAAAAAAAACTGTAATGGCAGATAATGCAATATTAATGAAATAAAAGGCCACTTAAGTGACCTTTCATGACTGTTTCTCAACACTTTTAAAAAGCACACTTTGTAATAATGTCAGTTTAAAAGTTTTACTTTTCATTTAAATCAATGCTTTTGTTGTTATAAAGAAGTACGCTTGTTATGATTTTCAAATTGCAACTTGAACTTCATCATTATAAATGTGTAATTACAAATATATTTAAATATGACTTATGTACTTTTCAGTACATTTAGCAATACTTTAACCCTATTTCAAAGACAATAGAAGTAATTATGAAATATTTATAGATTTTAGATTTTAAAGAACTTAAAAAATAAATAAATAAAGAACTCTAAAGTTCAGCTAAATGCATTTAATGTGATTGCAAATGACATTCAGTTAAGTGCCAAAAATCATTACACGCAGTTTGCATTAAATGTAATACTTTAAGTATATTATTTCTGTAATAAGTATTCTTTTTAAAAGTAAGCTGAAAGGGACTGCAGCGCAGACAATTTTTCAGAATTAATCTTTTTTTCCTTTCCATTGATGTATGGTTTGTTAGGATAGGGCAATATTTGAAAATCTGGAATCTGAGGGTGCAAATAAATCTAAATATTGAGAAAATCATCTTTAAAGTTGTTCAAATGAAGTTCTTAGCAATGCATATTACTAATCAAAAATTAAGTTTTGATATATTTATGGTAGGAAACTTACAAAATATCTTCATGGAACATGATCTTTACTTAATATCCTAATGATTTTTGGCATAAAAGAAAAATGTATAATTTTGACCCATACAATGTATTGTTGGCTATTGCTACAAATATACCCCAGCGACTTAACACTGCTTTTGTGCTGCAGGGTCACATTTAGAGTGTGTGACGCTCCGACACTGCGCTCACAGTGAACTAAGACGCACCGCTCAGTCACTAAGAGTCAAACCACATACGGCTCGATCTCACAAGCCTCTATTTCACCCCCAAATGACAAGAAACCTAACGAAAACAAGACCTGTTTCACATGACCTAGCATTACTGTCACATTCACCTCAAATACTGCTAAATTACAATTATATTCAGTGAAATGTGACCTGGACATGATCATATGCAATTCGCTCAAATTCTGACTGAAATACTAGTAGAAATATCATATTTTCTGCCCCAAAAATATCAATGAAGAACCAGTGAAGTGCATCATTTCTGCACCCAAACTGCAAATATACTGACCGGTCCTAAATAGGCTTCCTAATCACAGTCTATTAGACATGACACACTAGAGGCATAGAGGAGAAACAATAATGTACAGTATGTGGAAAATAATGTTTTTTTAACTTTAAACCGCATAAACACATTTCATTACACCAAATACACCAAATAATGTTCTTTTTAGCAGCATCATATGACCCCTTTAAGCAAATGTGAACCAGAACAGAGTTGATCAATTCTCAAGCCCAGCAAGCATGAACATGCTCTCCAGCAGCATCACAGACTCATGTGGACTCACGCTGGTGGAGTTGGTCCGGATCAAGCCGTGGTTGTGGTTCTGCTGTTCTCTGAACTGTAGGCCCGCCAAGTGTCTCTCCAGAGCCGCCCAGTCCATTGGTGGAAGTTGGCTTTCCTCCACCTCTTCCTCTCTGTATGGTCCCAGCCCGATCCCGCCTCTTACCTCTCCGGATTCCCGTCCCGTCACGCCGCTCCCGTGGCTGGGTTTGCCTGAAGTCTTGCCCTCGCAGGGCAGGATGGAGTTGGCGTTCTGCTTCAGCTCCTCGGGTACGGGACCTGTGAGAGGCGCTTTGGCGCTCTGGAGCTCCTCCGCCAGGCTGCGGCGGTTAACCGAGGTCTGGCTGAAGTCCTGATGCTGGTCGTCTGCGTAGCTCCCACCGTACTCCCTCTCCCAGTCTACCAGCGCTCTCCTCTTGTACTGCTGGTAGTCCTCGTCCTCCTCGTAGTCCTCCAGTCCGGCCAGCTCCAGACTGGGAGAGGACTTGTACTCGGAGCATGGCGTCACCTTGTTTGAGTTGGACTCAGAGCTGGAGCGACTGGAGGAATCGCTGCCCAGATCCATGCCATCCTCCCGGTAATCCTGAGACACAGACACAACGCATTAGAGACATACACTGCAGAAAACTTACAACCATTGCTATTCTTAACCCTTGTGCTGTGCTGAACATCCTGCATTACTTTGTGTTCCTGGTCAATAATTACAAGCCTTTTAAAAATAGCTTGTGAATCTCTGGTTATGCTGTATTATCAGCAAATCTTGTTTTATGGCGTCACCTTGTTGGAGTTGGACTCGGAGCTGGAGCGACTGGAGGAATCGCTGCCCAGATCCATGCCATCCTCCCGGTAATCCTGAGACACAGACACAACGCATTAGAGACATACACTGCAGAAAACTTACAACCATTGCTATTCTTAACCCTTGTGCTGTGCTGAACATCCTGCATTACTTTGTGTTCCTGGTCAATAATTACAAGCCTTTTAAAAATAGCTTGTGAATCTCTGGTTATGCTGTATTATCAGCAAATCTTGTTTTCTGCCAATTAGCCCAGGTTTTGAGTTTCTTTTTGGAACTGATTGATGATTGGCTTCATTGACCTGAGCTCATGCACCTCAGTTTTTGAGTGAAAAGGCATTATTTTTGATAATTCTTGCCATTTTTTGAGAATATTTTGGGAAGTACTTATACCCCGTGTGAGCAAAGTCAGTATTTTTAGGTGAATGCAACTATCATTTTCAGGAAAAAGAAACTCCTCTCCGGGTCAGAATGACCAGAACACAACATTATTTTGGTTATATTATTATAAAGAAAGATCAAGTGCTATGAGGCAGTCATGCATCCTATTACAGCCTAATTCATACTGTATATTTCAGAAACCAATTATTGCTTTGATCACCATATTCACGGGTCCTCTACCCAGCAGAATGAGCTCATTGTCCTTCAGTGTTTTGTGCTCTTCATCATTTTCTTTTCTATAACATTTGAGCATCAGACTGTACATCACAGATACCATCAACTTCGGTAAGATCGTCCCAAATTCCACAGCTTACACAGATGCACGCAAACACACACACACACACACACACTCAATTTCTCTCACACACACACACACACACACACAGGGCCGGCAAACCACACCAAGAAAACTTTTCAGAGCAACATCAACTACTGAATCTGGCAATGCTAACAGCACAAAACTGAGATTATACGGTTATAGTTATTATTATTATTTTAAATCAGTTTTTATTTATATATTTTCCATTTTCATTTTCATTTTAGTTAGTTTTAGTAATTTTGTTGTGTGTTTTTGTCATTTTTAGTACTTTTTTAAATATATATGTCTATATAGTTTTTATAAAATTTTTTCAGCTTTACTTTAGTTACTTTAGTATATCTGGTTAAATTAAATGATAACGAGAAAAGCTGCCATGGCAACTTGCTGAAATAAAACGTTTTTTTTATAACTTGTGTCAGTTAACATTTATTTTATTTCAAGTAACAAAAAGGTTTTTCTACTGACTTTAATTTTAGTTTCAGATTTAGTTAACTATAATGATATTTTGTTTTATTCTTATCGGTTTAAATGAATTTAAATCAATTTTTTATATGCTATATAAATAAATTGCCTTGCCTACAATAACCCTGTGATCCACCACTTTATTATGAATGCTTGTCTCAAATAACATGCTTTTATTTACAAATATGTGTGAATTAAATTCATGTGTTACATATTTCAGTAACTTGAGACCATTGCATCAGATCAGCTCATGAAGATGCTGAGTTAAATTACTGTTAAATTATAAATTATATTTTACAAATATCATATATGAGCTTAGTTCACAGTATTTCAGTAGAACAGGGCTATCTGAGGACACATGCCAAATCTCATTAATTTCTGTTGCTAGGGGGCGCTATTACTATTACTTTACACTACATACTGTAACTATTACAGTGTGTAAAACAGGCATGCCAATAATCAGATCAGTCAGTTTGACAGAGAGAATTCCACAGATTTCTGTCATATTATTGAGAAGGAAAGGGGAATCGTTGAACGCATGTAAGTGAGCACTATGTTTAACTTCTAAAGCGAACACACACACACACACACACACACACACACAATGATGCCACATGGGACTTCCTTCCTGAACTCAGGCTCCTGGGCTTTGCCTTTCAATGCCAAACAATCGAGAATGAAACTCCTTCAGAACAGCAATGAGCTGGAGTACTGCACAGCTATTACTACAATAACACATCTGAAAACACAGTACAGTCACAGCTAGTGCATTTCAGCGCAGAGCCACTAACTTATGAATGGAAAGCCAGCCTCCGTGTTTCATCTGTCTATAAGAACATGGTGAACATAAAACAAAGCGGGGACAGAATGTCTGAAGGTGAGGAGGTCAAATGCATTTTGTGTAATATCACCACATTTCAGAAAATGACTCCCAATTGTGAACAAAAATCATATAGCTGGCAAATATGTGTGCACGTTTTTTTGACAAATGAGGACATAAATTTGTATAATGACAAAGGTATGACATAGGTATTACAAGGAGAAGGTGACTTTTCAGGACATTACCCCATGTCCCCACTTTTCAAAACGCTTATAAATCACACAGAATGGAGTGTATTGAAAATCTGAAATAGCACAAAGTTTCCTGTGAGGGGTAGGTTTAGGGGTAGGGTTGGTGTAGGGCAATAGAATATACGGTCTGTACAGTAGAAAAACCATTACGCCTATGGAGAGTCCCCACTTTTCACAAAAACAAACGTGTGTGTGTGTGTGTGTGTGTGTGTGTGTGTGTGAGTGTGTGTGTGTGTGTGTGTGTGTGTGGATTATGTAGATAATTTTGTATTATGTAATTGTATAATATTGTGTATATCATGTGACCATGATTGAACACTCACAGCTCATATACATCTATCAAAACCTGTCCATTATGAAGCTTTATGATCAACTACATGCTCTCTATGAAGTCGGTTTATAAAATAAATGCTCTTTCTAAAGGCTCTTTCATCGACACTTAAGACACATTAGGAGTCCTCGCGTGATTTGTCGAGATCAGGAGCTTTAATCTCACGAGACACCGGACTTTTAGTCACGCAGAGAAAAAATAAAGAGAGAGAGAGAGAGAGAGAGAGAGAGAGTGTAAATCAAAGCGCCTTATGCTTTGATTTACATATAAGTGATTGCTTAAAGTGATTAAACACGAACATAAATGCGCAAGAAACAGCTGTGACACTCTCTCTCTCTCTCTCTCTCTCTCTCACACACACACACACACACATTACAGCACGCACACACAGCAAAAACTGGCAAAGCGGTACTAAATTAATCCCATTATACTGGAGTCATTCAGCTTTCTAATGATGCATGATGTCTTCATAAGGACAGTGCATTCACTTCATTCACTCATGCATATCCTACATACCTGAAGCTCGATATACTCGTGTTTATAATAACAGTCATATAAGTAACATCACGCACTGCTCTCCGCACCTCTCATGAAATCTCATCGGCATTACAGAAGCGCTCAATCGGCGCAGATTTAAATGAACGCACGCGAGGATCTCAGTCGGTTTCAATTATGTCATGTTTCTAAATCAGTCCTCACACCCTCCCATTAAACACCCGGGCGAGCAGCAGCGAGGAGACGCTCCTCATCTCACGGCGAACTCCAGCCCGCATTCTTCATATCTCACTGAAATCCCAGCCCCACGAACACGAGAGCAGAACTTACTGTCATCTTCTCTCCGGGCTCGTGGCTCTCAGGACATGCTCGTCGGGCGCACTGACGGAACGCGGCTCGAGGTTAAAGCTCCAGACGCGCGCGAGCGGAGAGCGTCCGCGGTGTAAGTCATGGCGGATCTCCGCTGCTTCACGACACCCCGGCGCCTCTCCAGCGGCCAGACGAGATAACAGAAACCCTCCCTCTGAGGAGCTGTCTCAACACCTACTGAGCTGCCTAGCTAGACAGCATCTGTGGTGGTAGAGGTAGTGAGAGAGCGCGCGCGTTAACGCCACTGAGCTGCCAAACGCTGAATGTCCGAAAACGCTCCGTATGGAAAACATGTTGCCCAGCATGGCTGATGCCCAAAATGTAACCCCGAGATACTAATAAATGCGTTGTTCTCATTGTCCAAAAATGCTCAATTATCCCACTGCAGTATTGAATATCAACATCTGTGATTAGGACTGACTGACGACTGTGCCGATATTGAGTATAACGGCACTCCTCCTTCTGTGATATTGAATAAATATCAATATTCCGTAGTTCATCAAAGTCATGCCTCATCAGCTCCTACTGGCCCTTTGCAGACCCTACTACAACAATGTATTCATAGTGTTAATGGTAACACTTTACAAAAAGGCTCCATTAGTTAATGTTAACGTGAACGAACAATGAACAATACATTTATTACAGTATTTATTAATCTTTGTTAATGAAAATACAGTCGTTCATTGTTAGTTCATGTTAGTTCACAGTGCATTAACTAATGTTAACAAGCACAACTTTTGATTGTAATAATGCATTAGTAAATGTTGAAATTAACATTAAAGGGGTCATATGATGCGATTTAAATTGTTCCTTTGACAGGGCATCACAGTATGGTGAGGGGCGTAACATTTCCGTCTCACGCTTGAGGTATTCGGCCAATCACAGCGCACTAAATAGCTGGCCAATCACAGCACACCTCGCTTTTCAGACCGATGAGCTTTGTAAAAATCAACGCGTTTCAGAAAGGCGGGGCATAGAGGAGAAACAATAATGTACAGTATGTGAAAAATAATGTGTTTTTTTAACCTTAAACCGCATAAACAGATTTCATTACACCAAATACACAAAATACTGTTCTTTTTAGCAACATCATATGACCCCTTTAAGATTAATAAATGCTGTATTGTTCATGCTGAGTTCATGTTAACTAAAGTAGTTAACTATGTTAACTAATGCACCTTATTGTAAAGTGTTACCGTGTTAATCTGCAAATTATGCATCCACATAATATTCAAAAACATAGACATTAAATATGCTTTGAAATTAGATCTTAAAGTCATCATGAAATGCAAATTCACCATATCTATTTTCGAAATGCATTTTATAATGAACGATTCATCCATGCATTTTTTTTCTTTGAGTTTGTAATTTTTAATTAAAATTTCATAACTGGAGCTTCAGTCTTTTCTCTGGTGATTTATGCTGGACTTCTGCAGTCATTTATTCTGCTTATGCTGCGTTCGATTTGTCATCGGAGCTTCATGTCTGGTTTTTCAAATGGAGTTCCTTCTCAGAAACTCGGTCCGCCTCGCTCAACCCCAAGTTGAGAATTCAAGATGGCTGCTCTC